TCAAGATGATTAAAACCCTCCCACTGTGACTTTCTGAGCACTCTTTCATCGAGATGAGATTCAATGACTTCATCGGATCAATCTTTGTTTACGAAACTCTCATGGTGTAACTGTGGAGTGCTTGGTGATTCATGGTCCTCCACTATAAAATTCCTCACTGATCAAATTAACTGACGGTGGGTCCACCAAAATTCTTTTTAGCTGAGTCCATTCAAACTCACTTGACACTCAAAAGTTCAAGCTGCTGATCCATGGCAATTAGCAAACCCCTTTCATATTAAGTCCTTGTCGCTTGACAACGAAAACCCCCAATGAGTGTTTTGTACAAATTGACATTCCCAATGTTATTTGTACCCTACTCCCACTACTTGTTTGGTCAAATCTTTAAATAGTTAGGGTCGTTCCAATCCTATTCGGTCAAACCTTTAAACAGTTAGGACCATAACCAAAATCCCCTCTCGATTCCTCCCATGAACGAGAGGTCCACTTCCACATCGAACGACTAGACCTTTAAATAGTTAGGGTTGTTCCTCCATTCCCACTTGGTCAAATCTTTAAACAATTAGGACCAGAATCAAAATTCCTTCTCGATTCCTTTCATGAACGAGAAGTTCACTTCCAAATTGAGCGATCAAACATTTATATAGTTAGGGTCGTCACAAACTTCTACTTGATCAAATCTTTAAACAGTTAGGGCCAACGTTGGAATTCCATCTCGATAAACAAGAAATCCACTTTCACATTGGATAGTTAAACCTTTAAACAGTTAGGGTTATCTAAATCTTTTCGATTCTCGGAGTAGAGATCCCACTCTTAGTTTCACCTTTCAAGATTCTCGAAGTGGAGATCCCACTTTGAGTTTCTTTTGCAGCAGGAGATGGAATATAAAATTCTTCCTCTTCAGCATCGGGTTCGTCTTTTCCCCAAGAGAAGACACAATTTTCTAGCATCAAAATTCATGTTTTTCATGCGTGGGGGACTTTATCTTAATCCCTAAATAGAGATAAGTCTGTATCTAACACATGTTGTCGGGTAGCGCATTCTCGTAAAAATGGTAAAGCCCACGTATTCGATATCGTGGCAGGTATCTATTAATAATATCGAAATCCATGTCTTACACGCATGGAGAACTTTATCTCGATCCCAAATTAGAGATAAGTCTACGCCTAACACGCATTGCCTGTTAGTCTTTCGTCGTGAAAAGAACAACATAATCCATGTCTGGGGGAATTAATCTCAATCTCTGAATAGAAATAAGTCTACGCCTAACACGCGTTGTCAGTTAGTCTTTCATCACGAAAAGGACACCAGAATCCATGTCTGGGAGAATTTATCTCAATCCCTGAATAGAGATAAGTTTACGCATAACACGCGTTGCCGGTTAGTCTTTTACCTTAAAAAGGACAAAAGCCAACGTATTCGATATCGTGGCAGGCTGTTATTAATAACGCTATAATTCATGCCTTACACACATTGGGAATTTTATCTCGAACCCTAAGTAGAGGTAAGTCTACACCTAGCACGTGTTTCCGGTTAGTCTTTTACTGTAAAAAGGACAAAAGACAACGTATTCAATATCGTGGCAGACCGTTATTAATAACGTCATAATCCATGCCTTATAAGCATGGGGAATATTATCTTGAACCCTAGAGATAAGTCTACGCCTAACACGCGTTACCGGTTAGTCTATTTTCGTGAAATTGACAAAGCCTATGCACCAAGTCTAAGAGAATTCACTCTTTTAGCACAATGTTACATGTAAAACGGGTTTAAATAATTCACATGCTACCCTGATTCAAACGGTGATCAGTAAAGGCTCATAAAATCCGTTGATGGTTGAGGGTTTACCAAAAATCCTATGCACATTGCCAGGTAGCCTATTCCCATAAGAATGGTGAAGTCTATGCATTCAATATCGTAGCATCAAGTCTAATAGAGTTTATTCTTTTAGCACAACGTCACATGCGGAACGGACTTAAACAATCTTCATGTAGCCCGACTCAAACGGTAGTCGGTAAAGGCCCGTCAAACCCGTTTATGGTTGAGGGTTTACCAAAAATCCTATAAGTATTATGGTTATTTATTTTAAACAGAATGAGTAATCGTAATAATGTACAAAAGTCACTGACGCACCAACTTCATCAGTCAGTCTCGTGACTTGAACACCTGGGAGAACATTAATTCCTGCCAAAGTTTCCATGAAAGACCTTGGATGCATTCGCAGTGGTAGCCGTATCAGCTCTAATAGCTGGTCCTACAACCAAAACTCCCCTATGGTTAAGCAAATAACTAGCGGAATGTAAGGGTAAGATCCATACCTGCAGATAAACCAGCATTAACGGTTGGTCCTGTAACCTCTACACTTAGGCCTGCCACGCGTTACAATGTCGGTTGAGCTTAAACTGTGTAGACTCCAGTTAATGTATGAGTATAAACTGTGTTCACGCCGGTCAACACGTTACACCGCAAGCCAACGCCAGTCAACGCATTACAATGAAGGTCAACGCCGATCAACGTGTTACAACGAAGGTCAAATGCCAGTCAACGCGTTACAATGAAGGTCGACACCGGTCAACGCGTCGATAATTTTTCCAAAATAAGGCTCACGATAATTCTTAATGCCAAATTAACCCCGGGGAGCTCAATCGCGATTCAAATATAAATTCCCGACGAAGATGATCAGCTCAACGTCGATTCAACGACATGAGCTAATTCAGATATCAACACGTCAGTCTCAGTGCAAGATTTCGACAACGGTCAAACGCTAAATGCAGCATCGGAAGAATTTTAGCTATTCAACAAAATACTGAATAGACTGAAAGCTGAAGAAGTCGACGAATTGAAGGTTGGGCGTATCATATCCAAAGTATTCCAGGCTTCTCTATAAAAAGAATGAGACTGAAACACTTTGGAGGGGGTATCTGTAGGCGTCAAAAATTGTCTATAGGTTTCCGCACACAGCTCAAAATGAAGAAAAGATGATGAACACCATTATCCGAGTCAAAAGAGGACTATCCGATACCTAGAGAAGCAAAGCGAGTCGGCAAAACATACAAGTCAAAGAAACGTCGAAACGTGCGCAAAACGACTGAACAAGACCAAAACAAGACATAGTCACATGGAAATTGCATCAAAGTGACCCGCACTCGTGCGGGTCACCTTAAGGTGCGGATCACCTTAATGCGACCCTCACACCCGCGGGTCACCTTGATGTGACCCTCACACCCGCAGATCACATTGAACTAACTCGCACCCCGGTTCCCAAAAACGCATATTTTGATGTTTTCTCGGGATTTGTTTGTTCTAGAGCCTCCCAATTACTTAGATATCATCCCTAAACGTGGTTAGCCCGTTATTAACTAAAGATGAGGCCAAATCACTTGGTCTTATCTAAAAACATTACAATTGAAGCCTATAAATACAAGCCTAGCGTCCTATACGCAGGGGGATCTAAAATTAGAGGCAATGTGCTATCAAATTGGAGAGTGAATCACGAATTTTAGATGGTGGCTAGTAGATCTTGGCGAACTCCAGCATAAAGAGGAAGTTATTCGAAGGATTTGAGGCTCGTTTCGCCATTCCTTGAGATCTGAATTTGTACTCATCCCGAGAAGAGTAGTAATCTCACTTGGTTGAGATTATTTACTTCAGTTCTTGTTACTTTCGTGAAGCAACGAACATTTAGCCTTCAACCGGATCTGATCCGTGGTGGTCCACGGATAAACCCCGGCACATGCAAAGACCCTACGCGAGCAGCGGGTGATAAACATCCTTTGCGGGTGTTTTAAAGAAACTTGTAATCTTTTTTTATTTTCATTGTGTAAGGAATCTTATAAAAAGCCCATCCTTTTGAACTTATTATAACGACTGAAGTTGTAATAAGTCCTACAATGAAGAAATCAAATTTCAACGCAAACACCATTCATGATGGGTTAACATAGTCTCTTCTCCTTTAACCCCTTGCCAAATGGCAACAAAAGTGGTACATTGCAAGGAAATACTACTTATAATGTGGTTTCTATTAATCCATCGCGAGTGACCCAAACAGTTAGAGGTTCTAAGATGAATCCTGTGGTCTTGAGTTTAATTCAGATTGGGATATTTTTTAAAAACAAGAAAAAAAGAAAAAACAAACATTAACGTTGGTTTCCATCTACATCTGAAATCACCCCTGCTTTTTTACTACATCCTTGTCATATCCTAGATACCATCAAGTCATTTTGGTGTGTTTGTCTCAAATCCTATAATTTTAGGATATAGATTTCACCATAGGATTTGAAATTCATAGGTGTTTTGTTATGGGTTGAGATTTTTAAAATGTTATTTGTTTCATTAATATTTTGGGATTTGGGATACTACAATTTGTAATATTTTGTTTGTTTCAAACTTAAACTGTAGCATTATCAACTGCTAAAATTTTGTAATATGATGAATATGCTATCTTGGTGAGGTTAACTCTCACAAAAAGATAAAATTAGGATTTGTTAAATCCTCTCTAATTGAGAGGTAAGCACACCTATTTATGAGATTTGTCAAAATCCTCTCCAATTGAGAAGATTCGACAAATTCTAAAAATTAGGTACTTTTTGCACTTTTGGGAGTCAATATTCTAAAAAATTTCTTAAAACAAACATCATATATGGAATCCCAAAATACAAAAAAGCTCATTTTTTGATTCCAAAACTTGTAATCCATACTTGAGAGGTAAGCACACCTATTTATGAGATTTGTCAAAATCCTCTCCAATTGAGAGGATTCGGCAAATTCTAAAAATTAGGTATTTTTTACACTTTTGGGAGTCAATATTCTAAAAAAATTCTTAAAACAAACATCATATATGGAATCCCAAAATACAAAAAAGCTAACTTTTTAATCCCAAAACTTGTAATCCATACCAAATGCCAAATTTTTTTATGAAACAAAAGTATCTTGACGCGAGTCACCTACCAGAGACCTTTCACCAGAATCTGACAGCTTGTATAGCGTGGTAGAATTGCTCTCTTTTAAGAAGTCAAAATCCAAGACGAAACTCTGCTTAAAAATCACCTAAGCTCCTTATGTTGTGCTAAAATTAGCCCCATGAGAGAATAGAGATTCCTTGAAAACTTTAGCCATTCCTGACAGAAGGGAGATTCCTTGATAACTTTAGCCATTGACGTTTTGGGCTTCCTGGGTCCTCCCAAAACTCTTAATTGCTGTCTCCAATCGGATTCTATAGTAATTTATGTTATTTTCAATTTGCATTATTCTTATACCACCTTATCGATGACATTTCGTTGGAACCTGTTCATTCTCACCTGTACTTTTTATTTCCCTTATTTCCCTTAAATTTCGATAATGATGGCTGAAGTTATTCCTGCAGTTTTCTCCAATGGATTCAGATTTTTTGGTAGAAATTTTCGGCAGGCAAGACTTTAAGAGTGATGCCGAGTCTTTTAGCACACTTTGGTTTACTGAAAAAACCCCTAGTAGTCAATGGATTGATGTTTCATTGATGTGCTTATTAGTCAAAATTACTACTTTTCCTGAATTTATTCGATGGGTATCTTCCATTATCATTGAATCTATGCTTGTTTTAGTTTAAGTTTGGTATTTTATTGCCAACTTGACCACATGGTGGGCTGTTGGAGTTACTTAAAAACTTTGGACTTTTATTTCTTTTGGAACGCAGATTAGACCCTCAAGTGTCAAATTTGGGTTTTAAGGTAAAAGTTTTTCTTGTCTTCCTCAAATTCTTAAGTTGATATTGATTATGTTCCTTTAGAATCTTTGATTCTTGATTCTTGAGTTTTTCCTTTTTGCTCTATATATTTTTTCTAGTGGTTTTCAGAAATGGAGACCTTGTTCACCTTTAGTAAGTCGGAACTCAGAAATTGTTCTATTTTGATTGTTTATTCGCATCTTTCTCTCTCCCATGTGCTTGCTTTGGTCACGGTCAACTTATCATCAACAGCTTGTTCTGGCTGTTGCAAACACACAACAAGAGGAGGAGAAATAGTAATCTCTTCTTTTGGCTGTAGCCACTTAGATTTTTTTTAAGCAGCCCTGTCCATTTTAAAGTTGTGTCGATTGTCGAGACCCCAAATATTGTTGTTTTAGGTAAATTGTTTTGCTTTCTGATACCCAAAAGCAGAAAGAAGACAAGGTGTTCTTCTACTTGTCATTTGCTGTTATATTTTTCAGTTTCTGAATGAATTATCTCTACTGTGGTTTCTTGATTCTTGCTTTCCTTTATAGTTAATTAACTAATATACTTAATTTCATATTTATTAAACTTGAACTAAATTTGTGCCCAAGAGCTTCAAAATTTTCTGTTTTGCACAGTAGTTAGATCCATACATTAGGATCTGTGTCAACAATACTCTTTTATTTTTGATACTCTTAATTTTTGGAGAAGCTCAACACACATCATAATCTTTTTGTATGATTAATAAAGGATTATAACATAAGAGGAGTAAAAGACAAAAGCATGTTCATGTGGTTGAGAATTGCATTTGCATGCTTTGTTTTCTTAGTTAATTCTTTAGCTTTGAATTGATTCTTCTGATGCTTTTTTTAGCAGAATTTACTTATTAGACTCTAATCAAGAGATTCCATTGATCGATATCTAATAAACTAATATGTTGGATTTTTCAGGATAATTTTGAATTTTCCTTGGATCAGCAAGTACTTTTAAAGATGTATTTGATTGAAGATAAAGGAGGTGCCATTGCACTTATGCTGGCTGCCTTGTTATTCTTGGGCACTTGGCCTGCTGTTTTAAGTCTCTTAGAGAGGAGGGGTCGTCTACCGCAGCACACTTATCTTGATTACTCAATCACAAATCTTTTGGCTGCCGTTCTTATTGCTTTAACTTTCGGTCAAATTGGAGATAGCAAGCTGAATACGCCAAATTTTTTCACTCAGCTTACCCAGGTTCGTTGCTTCTGCTTATTCCCTAAATATCAAGGGGAAATAGTAAAATTGCTGGGGTTATCAGCAGAAAGGATATGATGCTAGAATTTTGCTGAAATATTTATGCTTTGCCATGATTGCAGTACTTAAGGCTTCATTTAGTTTGAAGAGGTCCATTTAAATTAGAATGCTTCTGTTGTCTTTTTAGAAAGTAATAGTCACAGTGTTAGGTAAGCCAATTAAGATTAATAATATTGTTAGCTAAACCAACTAAAATGAATATAATCACATTTGATTCGGAACATTATACGCGTGTGACAGTTGGACATAATTCACCTGCCAATTTCTTTAATTGTATACAAAAGTTCTGAATTACTTTTATTAATCTAACTTATAAAAAGATACAGAACAAAAGAAATTTAATTTGAAATTGTATCTTTTGTCATCCTCAATAAATTTGCCAATAGGAAGGAAGTTTCCAACCTGATGAATTGTTTAATTTACTAGATGTTTCAGTTACATTTTCTGATATTTTCCTGGCCATCTGAAGGGATTTACATCTTGGAAGAGACATTCAAATCTTAACTCCTGTAATACTTCTGGTACGTTAGCTTGATAGCGAGCCTGTAACTTTCTGTGCATACTGCTCTAAGATTCTATGAGGGTGACATTTAATTTGGATTTTAAATCAAATATCAAGAAATCCCTTTTGCAATTATCTGCATCATGTTGTAGAAGCACCTTGGAGAAGATTTGCTCATAGATATATTTGGATTTTTCATGTAAGATAGAAATCTTCTTAAAATCTTAGTAGTGCTTTATAGGTTTAAACATTTTCTAGGTTACTAGTTTTTAGAGTTACACATTGATATATACTTTAGAACATAAGATTTTGAAGACGAAATATTTCGAAAAAATATTGAAGGAAGCTTTTAGAACATAGCCGTTCCACATGACTTTCCTTCCATCTTCATGTTTGAAGTCATGTTGTGGTCTTGCTAAGAGTTCCAATAATATGATCAAAATTCTTTTGATAGCGTATCTCATTCTTTCTACATTATATGGACACAACAAATACTATATGTTTACATTTGTAGATTATTTGCTCTAACACTTAGCAGTTACCTAGTATATCTAAATTGTGTTCAGGATAACTGGCCTTCGATCTTATTTGCTATGGCTGGGGGAATTGTCCTTAGCCTTGGGAATTTAGCAACTCAATATGCTTGGGCCTATGTTGGTCTTTCGGTAACAGAAGTGATCACTTCCAGCATAACTGTGGTTATCGGTATATGCTTGTCTTACTCATGTTTCTAAATTTAGATGATATTATTCTTTAATCTCATATAACATTTGTTTGAATCAGGTACAACCTTGAACTATTTCTTAGACGATCGCATCAATAAAGCTGAGATTCTTTTCCCTGGAGTTGGATGCTTCTTGACTGCAGTATGTCTGGGGTCTGCTGTACATTCATCCAATGCAGCTGATAATGAAGAAAAACTTTGTGGTTCTTCAAGTAGTTGCAAGGGTAACTAATCATCATTTGAAATCATTGTGCAATTAGTTCTTTCTCCTTTTTATTTTATTCATTTTTCTTTTCTTTGATTTACCTTTGGTAATCTAGCTAAGGAATTGGAGGATGAAATTTGTCACATTTCAGACTCGGTTAAGTCAGAAAAAGCAAAAGCTGGAACTGCAGAATACCTTGTTGAGCTCGAAAACAGAAGATCGATCAAGGTTAGTAATTTTCAGAAATTTTTGTTAAAATTTGAAGAATTTACCATGTAGCTCAAAATTTTATTTTAGGTAAATTTAACAAGATTTCTGATGAGTTTGGGTGTTTTCAAATTAGCCCTCAAAACTTTTGAGAAGTTCAGCTAATCCCCGATAAGTTTAAAAAATCTAGAAAACCCCAAAAATATTTTAATATTTCCTAACCCCCCCATGATGGTACATAAAATAGCATCAATTTAGAGTTTTGAAGGACAAGATCACCAAAATAAATGTAAATAAATTTTGGGGATTGGGAGCTCCAATATGGGAGTGGATGCGAGCGGTGAGAAGAAGAAAGAAGGGGGAAAAGTGATTTTAGTGTGAAAAATATAGGAGAACGTGAAGGTTTTGTTTTTTTTAAAGTAGGGTATTTTTGGTCTTTTGACAGTATGTTATTTGCATGTGATACACTGTAACTAACCGTTTTAATTTGGGCGTTTTCTCATAAAACTTACTGTATTTAAGTGAAAATTTCAAACTTTCTGTGCGTTAAATGGAAAACTTCCAAACTTATTGGGGGTTTTGTGAAATTTACCCTTTTTGTGTATTCTAACCAAATATCTAAAATTTCAGGTACTAGGGGCAAAAACTTTTGTAGGCCTCGGTATTGTATTCTTTGCAGGCATTTGCTTCTCACTTTTCTCTCCGGCATTCAATCTAGCAACCAACGATCAATGGCACACTTTGAGAGAAGGGGTGCCTCATTTGGTGGTCTACACCGCATTCTTCTACTTCTCAATCTCTTGTTTTATCATTGCAATCATATTAAACATCAGATTTCTTTACAAGCCCGTGCTTGGGCTTCCAAAATCGTCCTTCGCAGCTTATCTTAAAGATTGGAAGGGAAGGCAATGGGCATTATTAGCAGGGTTGCTGTGCGGATTTGGTAATGGGCTTCAGTTCATGGGTGGACAAGCTGCTGGCTACGCTGCTGCCGATGCTGTTCAGGTAATTGTGTGCGGTGTTTATTATCTGTTATTGTTGCTTTCATCATAGTGAATGACTATGTTACCTGGGTATTTCTATTCTGAATCCGTACCCATACCCGACACGTGCCCATATCCGAACTCCTTGGACGCTCCTCGCATATATGCATACATTTATTCTGGCATATACTAAATTATATAATACATGTTTTAATTTAAAACACTAGTCATACATATATCTTACACTTCACATCCACGTCTTGAAACTCGTTGGAAATTGGGCAGGTTCCAAATTATGATTTTTAGGGTCATTTGGATGTCTAATTAAAAACTAGTGATTTTCCAATTTATAATTCACATAATAAAAGAAGCTTAGAAATGTTATATGAATTTCAATTCTCATCCTTGTTCTCAGATAAATTATTAATTCTAACAAATAATATATATGTACATAAATATTTATATAGTAGTGCCCTCTACCTTACCATTAACAAATAAATATTTATATAGCCGTAACCTCTACCCTACCATTAACAATTTTACCTTATCGCGTACCCATACTGTACCCATGCAACATAGGTCAATGGTTTTGGTAAATATTCTCAGTTTTATTAATATTTTCAAGGATTTAGTCTCGTCTATTCTTGTAACCTATATAGCTAGAATGCCTTTTATCGATACATGCTCATCAACTTTCTTTTGTTGCTTTTATCTTGAAGAGTCTTGATATTGACGTCAGAGAAAGTGATGTGATGATTTGTGATGCTCTTATTAAAATTGGAGTTGATATTTATCTATATAATTCTTCATCTATTTCTCGCAATAGATGAACTTTTTTTTAAATTGGTGTCATCAGGGGTTTGTGGTTTTGGCGGCTCAGTCTTAAGTGCAACTTTTGTCATCTAAGATCACAACTTTACCAAGGTTATCGATAGCAGATAGCGTCACATAGCGGTGAGGCATCACTAAGATTATTTGGAGTAATTGTCGTAAAATAGCGGTAAAAAACGCAAAGTCAAATAGCGATCTAATTTAGATATGTATAAATACTAAAAAAAGAAAGAGTAAAGAAAAATTTTAAAAATCTAAAAGTACATATTTGAGGATTTAAAGAGATCATAAACATGAAATAGATATGTAATTATCACATAATACCGAAGATAACTGGAGGAGTCAAAGAATCGTCGTCTTTAAGAAGAAGAGCTGAACGGTGAGAGGACTACCCTAAGAGGAGCTCATGATGAATGAGGTGAGAGGAAGTACAGAGGTAGGTGCCAGATGCTATGAGAGGTGGCGGGAGTATGCCGAAAATCACAGGAGACGATGGAATGCAATGGTCATGGGTCAGGATTAATTTTAAAAAAATAAACCTCAAACCGCTTTTAAATAGCAGTAAAAAACACAGATTTCGCATGCAATCACCCACTATTTATCGTTATGGCACACTATTCGTCGCTTTTGTAAACGGAAAGCGCATATTCCGCAATATATCACCACTATTGAGCGATAGCGCAGCGGGAAGGCACCTCCAACGCTATTAGCGCCGCTATTGCGGGGTTATTTACCGCTATTTATAACAGTAAACTTTACCTAACAGAAAAAAATCTTCTAAGTATATGTGAAGTTCATTTCTTCCCCGCCCGGTGTATTTGGCAACTCTTCAAAATGGGGCCAGGATTGATTCTAGTCCCATTTTGAGAAACAATATGTTTGGTAAAACTTGGTCATTAAGTACTAGCTTACTTTTCTTGAGGTCAAATTTGGACCTTAAACTAGTTTTGTTTTGGTCGACCTTCTCATGGACCAAAACAAAACTAGTTTAGTTTAAATCTAGGCCAGGATTGATCCTAACCCAAAAGTTTTAGGATGATTGTCAAACAAACTCTCTCTGTTGTTCTAAGACCATTAACATAATTTTCAACTACTTTTCTCAGTAGATTGTAAGTCAAAACTCAGAAAATTGAAATTTCTTCAAAATAAAGGGGACAATTGAAATTTCTTCAAAATAAAGGGGGGGGGGGGGGGGGGGAAAAAATTATTTTGTAGATAGTTTTGCAATATTACTATCAATTATTGAACCAGCCTGAATGTTGATTGTTTTCCCTTCATTTTGTTGACATAAATCAGGCATTGCCACTCGTCAGCACATTTTGGGGAATTCTTCTGTTCGGGGAGTATCGAAAGTCATCGAAGAAGACTTACATACTACTTGTGAGCATGCTGCTTATGTTTATCATAGCTGTAGTAGTTCTGATGGCTTCAGCTGGCCACAGGAAGAACACAAGTAGAAGCTAGAAAGAAAACAATCCTGAGGGATCTCATTCTGATTTCCCCTTTCATACACAACATTTGCAAGTTGGTTCAGATTAGAGGAAATGCATCAATTTATTAATTGTGCAGGTTTAGATGGTTGTAAATCTAAGAATTTACATGGATAAGGATGGCGATTTGCTTGTATATAATTTTGTGAACTTGCCACCTCTGGACAACAAATGAAACCTCACATTTGATGTAAACTTATAGCTTGACTTAGTTTGTGTCAATTGATCACAATTACGTATCGGTCTTACTAGACGTGGAAGGAATTAAAATAGAAAGAAAGTATTAAAGTCATTGAAAAAAGAAATTTACTTTATCCCAGCTGGACAGAATTATATTATTTGATTTGTTAGGTCATTTGTCAAATTTAAAGCGAGAGTATATGCACCTTCAAATATTAGAAGTATTCAATGATTAACTTTAGAAAACCACCCCAAACTTTTTTATTTCAAGATACCCCCATTGGGCTTTTAGGGGCATTGCAAAACACCCCAACGAAGTTTTCTCACTTAACCTCTCAAAGTAACACCGCTAAATCTAACATGTCACATACTAAATGTTTGCATAACGAGAAAGGTGGTTGTTATGCCAATCGGATGTTCCCTGCACGACAAGTCTATAAAAGCAGATCCGCATAAGATTGATTTGAGCTAAGAACAATATGCGCCGCTTGAACTAGGCATGCTGACCCATCGTCATTGAGGGTCATTGTCAACTAAAAAGACAATCCATGGGGCTTGCGAATATGAAGAATGCATTAGTCAGGCAACAACATATCAAAACCTGGCCAAAGCCCTTCGACCAGGGGTGGTAAATGATTGAATCGAATCGTACATTAAGGTGTTCATATTTGTATTTGTTAAAAATTATTGAATTCGAATGCGGACTCTAATATTCATATATGGAGTTTTTCGAATTCGAACTCGAATACTGGTAGTTGATAAATATTCATGAATATTCACGAATACTTAACGAATGTTAAGCTATATTTATTCTGCTAAAGAATTTAATTTTCAAATAGAATTCAAATTCATGATGTATGTTATCTTTTTGCATTAGTTATCGACCAACTTACTAAGCACATTCAGGATGAAATTTCATGGTGTATGTTATTTGCTGATGATATAGTATTAGTTGATGAAACTAGAAGATGCATTATTTCTAAAGTAGAAAGATGGAGACAAGCTCTTGAGTCTAAAGGTTTTAGAATTAGTAGGACAAAAACTAAATATATGGAATGCATTTTTAGTAAAAGTAGGAAAGAAAGTTAGCATATGGTACATATTAATGTCCAAGAAATACCTAAAACTAATCATTTTCGCTATTTAGGACCTATCATTAGGCATGATGGTGAGCTAGAGGATGATGTTGTGCATCGAATCAAATCAGGATGGTTGAAATGGAGGAGTTCTTCGGGAGTCTTATGTGATCGTAGAATACCAATGAAACTAAAGAGAAAATTCTATAGGACAGTTATAAGACCAACTATGCTTTATGGGTCAGAATGTTGGGCAATTAAAAAATAACATGTTCAAAAAATGAGTGTAGTACAAATGAGAATGTTATGATGGACTTGTGGGTATACACTAAAAGATAAGATAAGAACTGAATGCATCCGTAGTAAATTAGAGGTTGCGCTTATTGACGATAAAATGAGAGAGAATAGATTAAGATGTCCATGTCATGTACAAATGAGACCCCGTAGTGCACCGATTAGGAAAAGTGATAATATTAGAGTTAATGAGGCTAAGAGATCTAGAGATCGACCTAGAATGACTTGGTCAGAAGCAATAGGATATGATTAAGACTAACGTAACGGAGGAAATGACCCGCAATAGAATGGAATGGAAAAATAGAATTCATGTAGTCGACCCCAAACATTTAGGATAAAAGACTTGGTTATTGTTGTTTGTTGTTGTTATTCAAATTCATAAGTAAAACTTATTCCTTTATAACATATGATGTATGCATATTTCAATCAAAATTTTTATTAAAAAACAGATTTAAGATTAAGTTATAAAATCAGTATATAAAAATTGAGTAGAAATTATAAGTGGGTTAAAATATGACATCATATATGTAATAATACAAATAATAAGTGATCAAATTTTAAACGAATATTTGATAGACAAATGAATCGAATATACATCTAGTTATCAAGTCCCATTTGGGAGTGATCTCTGGCAACGAGCCTCTAATGGTCCGGTCATTTGTTGGCACCCTTCGTGGGCCCGCCTTCGATTGGTATCGCCGCCTCAAGCCCAGAAGCATCAACAGCTGGGAGGACCTGGAAAGCATGTTCCTCGCTCATTTCTTCAATTTTAAACGAATATTTGATAGACAAATGAATCGAATATACATCTAGTTAAATTCTATTTGTTAGTAAAGTGGAATACTAAAAAATATTTGTTTAGTAGTAAATGAACTATCGAATCGAATATGACCGAATAGTTACTCGAACAACTATCAAACTATTTGTTAATTATTTGGTTCATTTCCACCCCTACCTCGGACGCTCAAGTTAGTCGAGATCATAAATGAAATGAATATACTATAATGAAAAGAGCTTTTGGACTCCGAATGCTATAACTATTTTACGCAATTTGGGGGCAAAAATAAAAGTAAACAATGATTCTTTCTGGATATAAAATTAGGTTTTTATAGTTTGGAGGAGTCTAAATGTAATTTTCCCTCATACATTACTTTTCATTGAACTATATAGATAAACTAACTGTAATTTAGGGTTTAAAGTAATTGTTTCCTAAGAATAAAGGACTCTCCTGCAAACTTAGAAATAAACTTCCTTGTGGGCTAATTTACCAAATTAGTATTTTTATTCAATCCTTTTTGCTGCATTAGTATGTTAAAAACTCGGGCGACAACAATGTATTTAATCTGGATCATCCCCGACAAAAAAATACAGGCGAGGGGCCATGTGTAGGTTATTTGATGAAAATTGAACAATTTTAATGCTTATATGACTCTATCTTTATGACACGACAGAGTTATTAGAAACACGTGAGAATCACATGCTTCCCTCACTTCTCATATTCAAATTTGGGCATACAATTAAAAATAGGATTTGAGATCCATCTCGCCTCTTTCATTCTCATCTTCAAATTTGGCGGTCAAACTAAAATTAGGGGAAGCTCCATATGCTCTTGTAAAGCTCAAGGTCAAGCTCAAACTCTAGCTACCACCATGATCTTTCTTCTACTCGAAGAGTTTGGAAATTTTGGTAATTATGGTATTTGGATGTGTAAGATTTTACAGATAGTTAAAAGCCCGCTTTCAAAAGGACCACGTCAGTAAACTTTGCCATATCAGTAACTCATTACATCTCAAATTTAATCACATGGCTTGCACATGGACCTTCGTGCACTTTTTTTTAGCAGGTAGAGATAATTAGGCCTATCCAATTGGGCTTCGGCCCATGCCCCTCCCAGACCCTGGAAAAGCCTGGAAAATTAGGGCCAATAGGGCTTCGGATCCGTGTCCGAGTTGTGTTGGTGAAGCCCGACCTGGTCATTAAATATATTTCTAAGTGTACGTGGTTTTTTTAGGAAAATGATCATAGTTTCATATATATATATATATTTAATGACCAGGTCGGGGATTTTCTCCTATGACGTCACTAAAATCACATGATTGAGCGATATTATGGATGATCCGCTCCGTTGAACTTGATCTACATATTCTAAAACCCCAACATACCAAGTTTGGGGTGAATCCGTCGTCGTTTGACCCTCCATCGAGCCATGTGAAAAGTTCTATTCATTCAAAACCGTTAAAATTGATACGAGTGGATGAAGGGTCAAACGACGACGGGTTCACCCCAAACTTGGTGTGTTGGGGTTTTAGAATATGTAACATCAATTAACTTAAGTGTTAATTCTCCTCTTGGAGTCAACACCTGTTCCATGTCAGCATTAATCAATCACCCCACCTCACCCTCGCCAGAGGAGACTCAGATAGCCTGGACACTTGACTCCTCCTGAGCTAGGCTGAGTCGAGACCAGCTCTCACTCGACCTCATCAATCGAGTTGAACACCCTCATTCGCTCAGAGCTGGGTCAACATCTTGTGAGGCTGCTCGAGAAGTGATACTTGTTGTCCCTCTCGTAGAGCCGAGTCAGGAGGTGGTTCGACCTCGAACTCTGCAACGACATCTTTCTATCCTCATCATTGCGAGTGCCACGAGTCTTCATGACTTATCACCCCCATACCACCTCAATTTCCACCATCTAATCAAGGATAACTCATCGATTATACAGTCAACACATGTCCTGCTCCATACTAGATTAAACATGATCAGAGCCCAGGCGACTTGGACCGCTCCTGCGGTCGACTCCATAGGTTGACATCTTACGTGGCCGACTCAAGAGGTTATACTTGTCAACCTATTCTCCAGTTCGAGCCCTCAAGACTTCACACTCGGCTCGCTATATCAGCCAACAACTTGCGTAACCGACTAAAAAGGCGGTGCTTGTCAGCCTTTAGCCGGATGACTAGAGAGGTGATGTATCCTTGAATCCCCCTCCGACAACAAGTCACCATCACATTAAATGCACAGTCAAAGTTATCATTGCTCTAGTCCTCATAGTCTTCATGACTCATCAGACCCAGTCAGCACTAAGCAGCTGCTGTCGTTTTGTAACTAACCACCTGGATGACCCATGCCACCCACGGTTGACACATGTCAGTTATTTGTCGAGTCAGTTGCCTACCTGAACTTGACCACAATTACATATTTACCCCTCTCAGCTTGGTATATATATGAGCTCATCACCTATTAGCAGAGGGGACATGAGGGGGAAGCCTTCAGGGGGGCCAAAGGTATGCAACTTCTGCATACTTAGAGCTATTTCCAGTTCATTAGTATCTTCTTCACTCAATCTCAATTGGTGACTTGATCGTTAGAGGAACCACCGAAGAACCCAATTCTGGTACTCGAATGAGTGTTATTATGCAGCTCTCTTTTACAAACACGAGATCGGTCTTCAAAAAGAGATGATGGAACCCACATCACTCGTATTGACCTTAAGCCCCCTTGCTAAACTTGGGATTACCCACTAATCTTGTTGTTGGATCTTAGGACATCAATAGTTTGGCACCCACAGTGGGGCCCCTTCATCTCTCTTTTACAAAAGAACGGTCAACTCCTTGTGCTCAAAACATGTAAATAAGAAACT